GAGAATAGTTTGGGTCCTGAATTTAATAAAATTACTGAACTCCACGAGGAATGAAAATTATAACATTTGAGCTGAGGTACTCAAATTAAATGTCGTTTAATAAAAGTAAAATGGAGGTAGCATTTTTTTCTGCATGTGTCACACAACTGAAGTTTTACTATCTTGGGTCATCAAAGACAATGTGCCTTCAAGATGCTTCTCACCTGGTAAGAACAGCTCAATGTATTATGATTAACTAAGTTCTGCATAATGCCAATAAGGGTAACTATGGAGAACTGCTACTGAAAGGGACAGGAAGGAACAAGAATGTATCTCACTTCCATATCAGATTAGAGTTAATCCACTCCCAACTCCTTCTTGGCATTTTTTGGCCTAAATTAACATTTGGTGAATAACAGAACTCACCCTTTAATTTCTAACACAGTGGGTTGCTCAGTTTCACTGTATGCACTAATTTTAGCCTTATATGTGATTCTGTGTACAATTTTGAGTCCAACAAACATTGATGGCTCAAAAATGTGATGGAGTATATCCTTTTAATTTCATTAATTCTTTCACTCATTTATTTATTCAGCAAATATTTAACTGCACACCTAACCACATGCTATTAAGTATTGTACAAGGTAGGGAAATTCAAAGAAAATAAAAGTCCCTTCTCTCAATAAACTTTGCCCAACAGAGGGCGAACAATAACAACCAAAGGTGGTCAGTACCACAACGAAAGTGTGCACTCGACACAGGAGGGGTGGGGCAAACAGTGCCAAGAACAATGCTGAGAGAAGTCAGGAAAAGGCTCCTAAAGGTAATCCTGGAGGCAAGTTGTATTTTAACCAGCGGAGAAGTAAAAGGTTATGTGAAGTCATAACAAAATAAGACATACTCAAAGAGCTACAAAGACCTCGTTATTATTGCAGCTTAAAGCATGTTGGATTAAAGAAATTAGGAAGGAAAAGTGTATTGAGGCTACACTCTGGGACTGTACTAGGTAATAAAAATACTAAAGTACATGAGATGAAGCCCCTGCTCCTGAGGAGCTTACAGTGTAGAGGAGGAAAAAGACCCTCAAACAGTTCATTTCAATAAGGTTGGTGTCATAGTGGAAAAACACAGGGACACATGGCTGGACATGTACAAAAGAGTGCCTTATACATCATACAAAGATGTTAAGATTTTATCCTAACAGAGAGTCACTGATTTTTTTTTTTTTAGACAGAGTCTTCCTCTGTCACCTAGGCTGCAGTGCCGGGGCAGGATCTCAGCTCACTGCAACCTCTGCCTCCTGGGTTCAAGCGATTCTCCTGCCTCAGCCTTCCACGTAGTTGAAACTACAGGTGCATGCCACCACACCTGGCTAATTTTTTGTATTTTTAGTAGAGACGGGGTTTCACTGTGTTAGCCAGGACGGTCTCGATCTCTTGACCTCGTGATCTGCCCACCTCAGCTTCCCAAAGTGCTGGAATCACAGATGTGAGCCACCGTGCCCGGCCCAAAAATTTTGTGGGATCACAGTGGCAGTGGATGATGGATTGGAAGTTATTAAGACTAGGGCAATAAGGAGGCTTCTGCCAAAGCCCAGGCAAGTATGTGATGAACCTGAACAAGGCCACCCTACTGTGATAATTTTACAATGTTTTTTTGTAGCCAAGTAAATGGGTAGTCTCTCTAATCTATCATTAAAATAAGAAAAGGAAAAATCCAGAGTGAGATTTTCTGAAACTCCTTAAAGGCTTAGCAAAAAGTTACATCAAAAAAAATTTTTTTAACCTTCCTTGAAAAAAACCAGTAATAACATGAGTTTAAAATCTAGTACAGATAATCTTAATCTTTGCTTAAGTCCAATAAGCAAATTGTGAAATATCAAACTGATGGATAACTGTATATGCATTTTAAATGACAGAGACTAAATATAAAAATCTGAGAAACTTAAAATATTACTAGAAAGGCAGAATAATTGTATGTACAGTATGATATTGTAGAATATACAGTATATGCTGACAAGCTAAAAGAAAAAGTGAAAGGTAAAATAATTTTCTATTATTTTTATTGTTTTTTACAATAATAGAATAAAATGAAATGAAAAAAATCAACACAAGAATAATGTTTATTGTATTCAGTGGGCCTGACCCAAATGAGTTACACCCGATTTTCAGTTCTTGGTTTCCTAGAATGGTTCTTACAAATGGTCTTGCTGCCTAGCTCCAATATTATCAAAATACAAAATAACTGATACTTTGGATTAAGAAAGACCCTTAAAATTCCTATTATGAATAGTTATCTCCTTCCTGACTGATAGAAGGTAAAGGTAAATTCAGTAGTAAGCTAATCGGACTCAAAAGAAGAAAAAAGTTACATAAATAATTTTTGCATGTGTGTTTCTCTGGACTATTTCAGAGAAAAGAATCTCTTGAAAATGGCTCTACCACCAAAAGCCTTTTAAAAGCCATTTTAAAACAATTCATTCAACAAACCTATTATCTACTGAGCATCTATAAGCCAAGCACATTACTCTGAAGACAAAGAAGAAAATAAAATATATAGTTCCTGCCCTCAAGGAGCTCACAGTCTAAAAGGAGAGGAAGAATGGTTACAAATAATTGCAATAAACTATGGTAAGTCCTCTAATAGAAGTATGTAAAAGATACTGTGATAAGCAAAGAAAACAGGTGCAGTAATAAAAGTCAAGGTGGTTTTCATAAGGGAATTGTGTCTTTAATGAGCTATAGGAAGGGAAAGAAGACTTCAATAGCACATGTAAGGAAATGTTAAATACGAAATAAGGTGAATGTAAGTAACTTTCAGTAGTCCCTGTGGTACACAGAGTGAAGGGAAGAGCAAAAATAAATGAGGTTAAAGGAGAAAGCAGGAAACAAATTACAAAGGACCTAACATTCATACTAGAGAATCTGACTATTATTGAATTCTATCAAATCTAAATTGCCATCGAATTACAAGACATGTTACTACATGCACCGTAAGAAAGAAAAAAGCTTTATGCTTGGGCCTGAATATTAGAATAGAATGCTACTGCATAAAGCTGCATTACCGAAAGGCTACATCCTCAGTGTCAGATTAAAGAAATAAATTTGCCATGCAGAAAGGGAAAGCAAAGAACTTTGTATTTCTCACTTGCCCTTAGGTAGAACGGGGAAGCAAAAAATCTCCCCAAGAACTCAACCTTGAGCAGATCTGCAGCCTAAATTTAAGTTAACATCGTGGTCCAAAAACACAAGCAAAGACTTTAACGTGGTCTCTGGCTGGTAATGTCTCCAAATGCCTGGCAGAAACAAATGAAAATTCTCTTTAGAAGATCAAGACTTCAATCCTGAACAACAGCAATTTAAGATGCAATATCATTGCAAAGATGAAAACAGTGTATCTTACAATCAATAAAAAAGTAAATCTTATAGTCAGTCTTAAAGCTGGTGATGTTTCAGAATTACATGGGAAACTCTTAAAAATACAAATCACCAGACTGTGTACCCAGAGATTCTCATACAGGTAGGTCTTCAGATAGGTGGGTACTTCAGGTAGGCCAGATGCTGAGCCTTGGAATCTCTATTTTAACAAGCTATCCAACATTTCCTTTTTATACACCTGAGAAGATAACAAGACACTATTCTGCAGAATCAGCTGAAAAATCCTACTCTAGAAGTTAAAGAACAGTAGGATTTTAATCAACGGCATCATTTGATCAGACTGACAATTTAGGAAGACTACTTAGACGCAGACAGGCTTTGCGGAGAGAAGCTAGATTAGAAGAGTATGGGGGGCCAGGTACTGTGGCTCACGCCTGTAATTCCAGCACTTTGGGAGGCCGAGGCCGGCAGGTCACGAGGTCAGGAGATCGAGACCATCCTGGCCAACATGGTGAAACCCCCATCTCTACTAAAAATACAAAAATTAGCGGGGCATGGTGGCCAGCGCCTGCAATCCTAGCTACTAGGGAGGCTGCGGCAAGAGAATCGCTTGAAGCTGGAAGGTGGACGCTGCAGTAAGTCGAGATCACATCACTGTACTCCAGCCTGGTGACAGAGCGAGGATCCCTCTCAAAAAAAAAAAAAAAAAAAAAAAAGCATAGGGACAGGAGATGGAGGAAGGACAGTAAATGTAACAGGAAACTGTTAAAAGTTTTCACCCTAGAGGTGGTAATAATTTAAATACTAAATTATTTTTAATTTGGGAGAAATTAAAAGAGTAATTTGGGAGAAATTAAAAGTGGGAGAAAAATAAGAGTATTAAGGAGGCAGAACTACACAGCATTCTTTAATAAAAACGACATGAAAGTAAAGGGATTAGATCTAATTCTGAAAAATTCCAGAAGACTAACCCTACTTCCTAGGCATTAGGGCCACTGGGCCTTTAAAAGTAAATCCCAGCTGGGAGCAATAGCTCATGCCAGTAATACCAGCACTTGGGGAGGCTAAGGAAGGCAGATCACTGAGGTCAGGAGTTTGAGACTAGTCTGGCCAACATGGTGAAACCCTGTCTCTACTAAAAATATAAAAGTTAGCTGGGTGTGGTGGCGGGTGCCCGTAATCCCAACTACTCAGGAGGCTGAAGCAGGAGAATTGCTTAAACCCAGGAGGTAGAGGTTGCAGTGCGCCAAGATCGCACCACTACACTCCAGCCTGGAGGACAGAGAGAGACTCTGTCACAAAACAAAACAAAACAAAACAAAACAAAACAAAACAAAACAAAACAGAACAGTAAATCTCATTTGGGCATAGTAATCTACCACCTTTTAGCTGTGTAATAAAGTATAAATGCTATACAAAATCCTATACTACATAAATATCAAATGTTCCAAATGTTACTTAAAACTCAAAATGATTTCCAAATTCAGATGTAAGCACAGAGTTTATTCTTTAATGTTTAACATTTCTATTAATTAGTGTGCATAAATTAAAAAATTACAATTCTTTAAGCAAAAGAAGAGAAAATATTTCCATTGGTTGATAAATTTAAAGTACAAACAGAAAACAATGAATTAACAAACTTACGCTGAATATGAATGAACTGTTTTGGCTGTTTAAACTCTCCTTTGTACAAGCGATTGTAATAGTTGACGTTGCTCTCTGCCTCAGGAACAGGAATGACCATGCTCTCTTTTTTTTCTCTAAACACTTGCTGTGCTGAAATCGCTCGCTGTAAATGATGTTCCTGGAAAATGTAAAGTAGGCAACATAAGTTGTTTTGGTAATATTAACCAATGCATAATTCTATTTAAAAGTAATAATCACAAAGTGCTTTAAGAATCAATTATAAATAGCTCCTTTGCAAAGACCTATAGATACACTGCCATCATTCTCTCTTAATATTTGTGGCTCATACTGATATCAACCTAGATTATTACGATTTTCATAAGTATAGTTTTTTTTAAAATTATATACTCACAAACTAGAATATAAAATTTCAATTACAAAAAAATTATTAATCTGTTTTGCTAAATTAATTGAGGTGTTTGTCACCACTACCAGAAGAAAAATTCCATGTTACAGGAAATAAACTTATATCACAGATTTTAAGTATCTTCTGCATTAGTGTATCTAAAACTTTAACAGTACAAAATTCTGAGTAATTCAAAGAAAGATAAAAATTATGTTCAACAAATTTTATTACTACCAGGTAAAAAATATTCTTAAATAGAGGTTAAATGAACAGTTCCTATAACATATATCCAGATTCTAATGACTTCATTACTCCCACGACCTACTGAAATAATCTTCTAAATAGAATTTTCACTACTTCCTCCTTTCCCCACAGTGGCCCATTCCCAACGAAGCAGTTTTACCTTTTGGAAGGTAAATCAGGTCATGTCACCCACTCCCTAAAGGATTTCTGATCTCCATCCTATTCAGAATAAAGGTTCAAAATCACTCAATGACCTCCAAGACTCTGCATCTCTCTTACCTCATTCCTGACCTCTCTCCTCTACAATCTTTAATTCTAGCCACACTGATCTTGCTGTTTCTGTATATCCAATGGTCTTTCAAAATTGCTTCCAGTCTTATCTTAACAGAGAAGTCTTCCACGACTTTTTTTTTAATCTAAAAGAGTATTCCTCCCCCAGCATTTCTTCCCTGCTTTACTTTTCTCCATACCACTTTGCAACATCCAATATAGTAAAGATCTCATGTGTTTATTGCCCATCTCCCCCTAGCATGAAGTAAGTTCCAAGAGGACAATGATTTTTGCTTGTTTTGTTAATTTCTTATCCCTAATGCCTAGTACAATAGCCAAACTTAGAGGCTGCTTAATATACATTAACTGAATAAATAAATGAAATCTTTACTGGATTCCGACTATATGTCAGGCTATGCAAAACACATATAAAGAAACTGAAACATAAGGATGTTTCATAAGTTGTTAAAGTTCAAACAGCCCTAAGTAACAAAACAGAAATACAATATAGGACATACATATATATGCAAAGCCAAAATTCTTTTTTTTTTTTTTTTTTTTTTTTGGGACGGAGTTTCGCTCATGTTACCCAGGCTGGAGTGCAATGGCGCGATCTCGGCTCACCGCAACCTCCGCCTCCTGGGTTCAAGCAATTCTCCTGCCTCAGCCTCCCAGTAGCTGGGACTACAGGCGTGCACCACCATGCCCAGCTAATTTTTGTATTTTTGGTAGAGACGGGGTTTCACCATGCTGACCAGGACGGTCTCGATCTCTTGACCTCGTGATCCACCCGCCTCGGCCTCCCAAAGTGCTGGGATTATAGGCGTGAGCCACCGCGCCCGGCCTAAAGCCAAAATTCTTAATCCCATTACATCATTTTTTTTTTTTTGAAGTAGTATAGAGTACAAGAAATTAGAAGATCTTAATTTCATTCAAGGCTTTAGGGCATGTGAAATGTTATTATACAAAAAGAATTAGTGCAGCCATGCAAAAAGAAAAGTTTTGTTCAGCAAGACATAAACAAAATTAAACCGAAGGTCCATTATATGCAAAATGCACAGATTTGTTTGATTATAACTAGTACTTTAAAAGGGAGGTGATGGTTATAGATATCAAATAATGAGAAGAGAATTACAGTAATGATCTTCTGCCAGTAATTACTGTTAAAGAAAGCAGAGAGACAGAGATATAAAAACAAATGGGAAATAAAAGAAATACAGTAAGAGGAAGCGGAGAAACAAGCTTGTTATGCTATAGGCAAGTGAACGGTAAGCCAGGGCAGTTTACTGGGACTCTCACAAGAAGGACCAAGTTTGGTCAAATGCAATCAAGTCATATCTGCTTTTCCCCAAATAATCATCTATACTACATCACAGCATCTCTTTGGCATTTTGTCAGGTTAAGTTAAATCAAGAAAGCATAAGTATATTCAAGAAAAATGTCCTGAAATTTAACTAAGGATCAGAAGTCTAAGAATAGCTAAGTAACTTAAAAAGAAGCAGAAAATGTGGAATGAGAATGGAGACTTGCCTACTAGAAATCACAAAATATTATAAAGCCACATTTTCTGCTTCTTTTAAGTTCACTAAGTGCACCTCTAGTAAAAATACAAATAATAACAAAGTGAAACAGCCTTACTGCTGAGGCAGAGAAAGTTTCAGGGGTCTGAATAGAAAATCAAACTGGCCACACAACATTCCCGTAAGCCAAAGCTTAATCCCGGGCAAGGCACTAATAACTCTCTTCAATTCTATGAAGGTCGAGAGAAGTGAAAAGGCTGCAGAAAAAAAAAAGAAGATAGCAGAGATTGGCTCATGAGGTTAAGGTAAAAAGCCATCTCCTAACATAAAAATACAAGGTGAGGCAGCAAGTGCTGATGGAGAAGAGTCAGCAAGTTATCCAGAAGATCTGGTTAAGATCATTGACCAAGGTGGCCACACTGAACAACGGATTTTCAATGTGTATGAAACGGCCGTCTAATGGAAGAAGATGTCATCCAGGGCTTTATAGCTAGAGAGGAAAAGTCAATGCTTGCTTTCAAAGCTTCAGAGAACTGACTGACTCTTGTTAGGGGCTAATCCAGCTGGTGATGTTAACTATAGCCAATGTTCATTGACCATTCCAAAAATCCTAAGGCCTTTAAGAATATGCTAAATCTACTCTGCCTGTGCTTTACAGGTTCACTGAATAAGCTAACTGTTGAAAGCTACTGTTCAGAGAAAAAAAAAAAAAAAAAAGTACAACAACTTGACAATGCATATGGTCACCCAAGAGGTCTGATGGAGATGAACAAGGAGATTAATGCTATTTTCATGCCTGCTAAGACAACATTCATTCTGCAGTCCATGGATCAAAAGTAATATTGACTTTCAAGTTTTTATCTAAGAAATATATTTTGTAAGGCAACAGCTGCCACAAATAGTGATTCCTCTGATGGATCTGAGCAAAGTAAGCTGAAAACCTTCTGAAAAGGACTCACCATTCTAGACGTCATTAAGAACATTCATGATTCATAGAAAGAGGTCAAAATGTCCACATTAACAGAGGTTTGAAAGAAGGGGATTCTAATCTGCATGGATGACTTCGAGGGATTCAAGGGTTTAGTAATGGAAGTAACTGAAGATGTGGTGGTAATGGCAAGAAAACTAGAATTAGAAGTGGAGCCTGTTCAGAACATGTGACTGAATTTTGGCAATTTCATAAAGCTTAAACAGAAGAGGAGCTGTTTCCTATGGGTAACGAAGTGGTTTCTTGAGATGGAATTCATTGCAGGTGAAGATGCTGTGAACATTGCTGAACAAAGGATTCAGAACATTATACAAAGTTGGTAAAGCAGCAGCAGGGTTTGAGAAGACTGCAATTTTAAAAGAAGTTCTACTGTGAGTAAAATGTTACCAAACAGCATCACATGCTAGAGGAAACTCTTTCATGAAAAGAGTCAACTGATGGAACAAACTTCATTAATGTCTTATTATAAGGAACTTCCACAGCCACCTAACCTTTAGAAAACATTACCCTGATCAGTCTAGCCATTAACATCAAGGCAAGACCCTCCAACAGCAAAGATTATGAATAACTGTAAGCTCAGATGACTGTTGCAAGCACTTTTTAGCAATAGGGCATTTTAAAATTAAGGAATGAATATTTTTTTAGACATAGTGCTAGTGCATACCTAATAGACCACAGTATAGTGTAAACACAACTTTTATACACACTGTGAAACCAAAATATTCATGTGACTTGCTTTATTATGACATTAGCTTTATTGAGGTGGTCTGAAACTAAACCTACAATATCTGTATATATCTAAACATGTAAAGTAAATCATAAACAGAAGGAAAAAAAAACAAGTATCTTTCTGCTATTAAGAGCAAAAAACTTCTTAAAATTTCAGATGTGTGAATAAAGCAAAATAAAAAAACTCAATGAAATTTATTAAAATTAAAAATTTTCATTCAGTAAAGGATACCATGGACAAAGTTAATAAACTTATGACAAAATGGTATGTTACTTTAAATGTCTAAAACCTATAAATGATTACTATCTATAATATGTAAGAAACTCCTGCAAATTAACAGGAAAAGTAACCCTAAAGGAAAAATGAGTAAAAGATATAAACAGGCAATTTACAGAATAAAAAACACAAAAGGCTAACAAGTGTATGAAGAGATGTACAAATTCATTAGTAATCAGAAAAACACAAATTTTAAAAAATCTTATGAAATGATTTATACCAATTAGTCTGGCAATAATAAAAAATTAAAATAATGCCAAGTGTTGGCAAGGATATGAGGATAAAAATTCCTGCATGCATGACTATGGAAGCACAGACTTTCTACCATTCCAGAGAGCAACGTGATAATTACTCAAACTGAATCTGCATAATGTATGAACTAGCAACTCCTGTCTTGAATATATAACCCCAAGAAAACCCCACACAGGTATGTAAGTAAACACAGTCGCTGAAATGGCATCTGCTGTATTTGAAAGCTTGAGGCAATGTGGTTATCTATGAATGGGAGGGTAGGGAAGTAAAATGTGGTAGATGCTCACCATGAATATTACAAAACAGTTGGTATCAACAGTCCAGATGCATATACAATGTGATGCATCTTAAAAGCACTGTTACGTGTAGAAGAATGAAGCTGGATCCTCATCTTTCACCTTATACAAAAATCAACTTACGATGGATCAAAGGCTTAAATCTAATACCTGAAACCACAAAAAGTCTAGAAGATAACATCGGGAAAACTCTTCTA